ATTATCTATCTATCTATCATGTGCTGGTACTGACACTTGAACTCAGGGCCTGGGCACTATCCCTTAGGTTTTTCTGTTCAAGGCCAGTGCTCTACCACTTAAACCACAGCTCTACTTTCAGCTTTTCTACAGTTAAATGGAGATAAGCATTGAATAGACTTTCCTGTCTTTGCTGGCTCTCAACTGAGCTCCTCAATTCTCAGCCTCTTGAATAGCTAGGATTACAGGGAGTGAGCCACTGGTACCAGCTTGTAAGGACTTTGATTTGTTACAAGTATTTTTCTCCTTTCATCCTCAGTCTTTATCCTACTAATATCATTCACTTGGTTGGCCATCCTATTAAAGCCATTCCTGACTACAAGGTTCCTCATAAGGGGTGTTCTGACACTGACGTGACCCTTCCCTACAAAGGATTTGAACAAAAGCACTTTGTTTCTGGGTGCTACATATCACCTGGAGAGAAAATAGAATACCAAGTGTAAGGAGAAGCCCCCTACATAAGTCTAGGGATGACCAAAAGCTCAGGACAAGCTAAACAATCAGAAAAAGGTAGGAGTCCTTACCTTCCATGGGGAGGCTGTCTTGGAGTCTGCTTCATCCTATTCAAAGAAGGACAAGTTTAGACAGGAGAGCAGAGCCATCATACCACATCAGTGACTGGTGTGCCCGTGGCACTCCAGAAAAATTGAACACTGCTGTGACTTAAAGCTGACTGTGACTAGCAACAAACCCAAGGATACTTGAGAGGAATGATGCAAACAGAAAATTCCAGCAAAGGAGAGAATGAGGAGATTTAATAAGAAAACAATCAGCAAGGTGCTAGAGGCTCATACTTGTAATCCTAGCTACTCAGCAGGCTAAAATCTGAGGATCATGGTTTGAAGCCAGCATGGGCAGAAAAGTTTTCCTGAGACTATTATCTCCATTAACCACTAAAAAAGTCAGAAGTAAGGCTGGGAATGTGGCTTATTGGTAGAGTGCTTGCCTAGCATGCTTGAAACCCTGGGTTCCATTCCTCAGTACCATATAAACAGGAAAAGCCTAACATGGCACTGTGGTTCAAGTGGTAGAATGCTAGCCTTGAGCAAAAGAAGGTCAGGGACAGTACCTAGGCCTTGAGTTCAAACCCAGGAATAGCAAAAAACAACAACAAAAACAAAAAACAAACAACAAAAAAACCTGGAAGTTTAGCTGTAGCTCAAAGTGGTAGAGTGCTAGCCCTGAGCAAAAGAGCTTGGGAACAGTGTACAGGCCCCCACCCAGTTGAAGCCCCATGACCGACCAAAAAAAAAGCCAGGCAATGTGGCTGATGCCTGTACTACTACTCAGGAGGCCAGCCTGGGCAGGAAAGTCTGTGAGATCTTATCTCCAATTAAGCACAGAAAAAGCCAAAGTAGTATTGTGGCTCGAGTGGTAGAGTGCTAGCCTTGAGCCAGAAGAATTCAAGGACTGCCCAGGCCCAGAGTTCAAGCCCAGGAACAACAACAGCCACAAAAAAAAAAAAAAAAAAAAATCCAAAACCCAAACAAACAAATGAACAAAAGTCAACTTTTCTTTATGCCATGTTCATGTTTTGTTAAAAGAGTATTTAAAAAAAAAAATCTAATGAGGTGGTATTGGTAGGCTCATTCGTCTAATCCTAGTTACTCAGGAGATATGAGGATTCCAGCCCAACAAGAAAATCCATGAGAGTCTTTTCCTATGTGGTTAGCCAGCAAAAAGTTGGAAGTGTGGCTCAAGTGAAGATTATAAGCCTTGAGCACAAAAAACTAAGATAGTACCATGCTGAGTTCAAGCCCAGTACTGGTAATCACTCACAAAAAAATATCCCTTTCATGCTCAAGTTCATGGAGCCCCTTCAACTTACCTTGGGCATCATACCATACATCTCCTGCAAAAGAAAGGGAACAGTTTTAATAAGAGGAAACAGACACATCTTAGAACACACAATATTGGCAAATCTTAGCTGAGTAGGAAATACAGCATGCTAGCTGTATTTGTCAAGTATTAATGTGCAAAACCTTTCAATAATGGAACTCATCACTTTGCCTTAAAGAACTAAAGAGTTAACAACTCTCACAGCATTTAATAGGCTCAGGGAAAGCACTGAAGCCTCTGGATGAAGGGGAAGGGATACTGGTCAAAGAAATTAAAATGGATAGGGCACAGAGAGAACTGGATGGAGTCACAACTCTGTACTAGGGAGATGCTGTTGTGGGGCTAAGTTGGACACAAGAAGGAACCAAGCTGATCCCTGATTCAACTAAGCCTCACTCTAAGACAGAGGCACACACCTGCTGTTGCACGGCTTGCACCTCCTCTGCCATCAGACCTTCAGACTCTAGGTCTTCAGCCACCTTGTTGATGTCCTTCAGCCGGGACTCGTTGGCCTTCAGATCCTTTAAAGTAAAAGCTACAATAACTACACGGCAACAGCAAGTGGAGGGACAGGAAGGCACAGATACGCAGAAGCAATGTGTGAACTTATGGAGATTTGCTCTCCAGTTATCATCATATGAACTGTATCTCTATACATCTATAGGTCTAGAATAGAAAATCCTAACAACAAAGGAATAAGAAAAAAATGGAGTACTGGAAACAATCTCACTCAAATTTACTTCATTAACATAGGCCTTGCCAGATACAGATCATTAAAAAGCACTTTTTTAAGGCTGGAGGTGTGGTTCAAGTGGTCAAGTGCCTATCTAACAGGCACATGGTTCTGAGTTCAAAACAGTAACTGACTAATGGTTCAAGGTAACAAACTATGTTGGAACTACACACAACACTATAAATGTATTAGTGCCACTATAATGTACATTTTGAAATGATTAACTTTACTATGTGAAGTTTAGTATAATAAATCAAGACAGCCAGGCACCAGTGGTTCACACCTGTAATCCTAGTTACTCAGGAGGCTGAGATATGAGGATCATGGTTCAAACCAACCTGGGCAGGAAAGTCTGAGTCTCTCTCCAGTAAACTACTCAGAAAAAGCTGCAAGTAGTGCTGTGGCTCAAGTGGTAGAGCACTAGCTTGAGCCCAAGAAGCTCAGGGTCAGTGTTCAGGCCCAGAGTTCAAGCCCAGGACTCGGGGGAGGGGGAGGGAAAGGAGGATCAACAAGTTTGAGGCCAGCAAACTCAATCTCAAAAGAACAACAGGAAAAAAGTATCTTACATCTTTTTGTATAAATGTAGATTTAGCAAAGTTTTGTTTTTACTCTTTTTTTTTTTGTCAGGGCCTGAACTCTGGGCCTAGGTGCTGTCCCTCAGCTCTTCAGCTCAAGGTGAGTGTACTACCACTTGAGCTATAGCACCACTTCCAGTTTTCCAGTGGTTTATTGGAGATAGGAGTCTCAGGGTCTTTCCTGCCTGGGCTAGCTTTGAACTGCGATCCTCAGCTTCCCAAGTAGCTAGGATTATAGGCATGAGCCACCAGTACCCACTACCTTCCAAGTTTTATAAACCAAAAAAGTTAGTGGAAAAGACTAAAGTTTAATTACAGTAAATAAAAAATACATCTAGGGAAAATATGCCAGTAGGAGGTCAGTGTGGATCCCTGTGCACACACACGTGCAGGTATATACATACTCCAGGGAGGAGGATACTTGTTTCTTTGATGTTTTGGCATTCAGTAGTCTGAGTATTTTATATTGAGCAAGTATTGTTTCACAACAAAACAACCACTACAAAGGTCGCGCTCTACACATCTGAACCATGTTCATTTTTTACCTGAAGTCACTAAGAAAGCGTTGCAGGTCATGGGAATCGCCCAGCTTGGCCTTGCGCTGGTCCGCACGCTTCCCCAAGCTGGTCCAGGCCTGGTTTAACTCAGTGCACTTCTCCTTTAGGTCCTCCGCGGACTCAGGGTGAGACTGGATCAGGCGTTGGGCCGTCTCCCCGAGGGAGTTTACCTACAGAAACGAAGTAGTGAGAAAGCAGAAACAAGGCAGCTCTGCTCTGCAGAAACGAAGGCTTCACTTTGACCCTGGCCTTTCGCACCTTGTCACCGAGAGCTGCCAGGTCCCTCTCGAAGCCCTCGTGCTTGCGCTGCAGGGCCTGGACACTGGCTAGGTCGTGGCCGTAATTGTCGGTGTTCAGAGCCTGGTTCTTCTCCTCAATCCACTCTTTAGTTTCGTCAGCATCTCTGCATGAGACACATGCAAGTTAACAGCCAGAGTACAGGTGCCCAAAGCCACCAGGAAAATTGCTTCAGTGGCACCATTTGATGGCCACTAACAGTTGTACAGAGGGAAACACAACGAATTCATCTTCAGCAGTATTGACCTTGTATCAGGTGTGGCTTAGGTGACACAGTCAAGATCAGCAAGACCCAGCTGTTAGGCTGAGACCCTGGTGTGCTAGTCAGGGCCGTTAGTGTGAGTGAACAGTCCCCACTTCTCCCTGCCTCGGCCAGGGGTAGGCCCCTCACCTGTGGAACCTCTGTACTTCATGGGCACTGCCCAAGAGCTGGCTTCGCTCCTCAGCCAGTTGCTGCAGGGACCGCCAACGCTCGTTCAACTCCTGCAATAGGATGGCAGCGTCAGCCCTATTCCCACTCTTCGGGGGCTTGTCCACAACTAGGCCTGGGAAAATGGCTAAACTGGAGGAAGTGCCAGGGTCCCTATGGCTTGCTGTTTCCAGGCATCCTGGTTGAATAAATTACTACACAGAAGAGCAACATTCCACAGAGTCAAAGGCAGCTGTACCTGATGACTTGAAGACCGCTTGAGTGCCTGACTGAGGAATGCCCTCGGAGAGCGGCAGGAGAGCCTAACTTGTCCTCACTCTCACCAGCTTGGTGCCTGGTATGTGGCACCTACTTTATGAACAACTGCTGAGGGGACAAATGCCAAGAATCTGCTTTCCAACACTTGTCCAGCTGCATCCTCAGGCCAGGGCAGATCTGAGTTTAGTATAGGCATGTGTGAGAGTTGGCAAGCAAGGCAGGTGCAGCTTTCCTGTGGACGGCCAAGGAAGGCCAGCAGTACTGCTCAGCATTGGTGAGGCTGGATTGAGAAAGCTGACCAAGCCTCCCTGCATGAGAGGGCTGGTGTTTACCCAGGATGTTTAGGATGTTTAAAGGAAAGTCTCCTGGTAGCCACAGCTTGTCCCGTGATGAGAACATGAGCTCCACTGTGAACAGGAAGGGAGATCAGGGAAGCTCATCACCATGTCTTACCTTGATGGAATTGAATGTGGCCACTGTGTGAACCATAAGACGGGCAGACTGTAAGGAAACCAGGGGAAACCAATGAGACATTTATTTGTACACTGAGAGACAGAGATCTGAGTTGCAAGTGCTACGGATTAGGTTTTGATGGTCAACCAAAATTACTTTAAGGGACACTGGAAACATCTGGAGAGGCATTAAGAAAAGGATCAGCCGCCGGAAAAAATGAAAAGAGCCCACATTCGCAATCAGACCCAGCTCCATTAGTTTATCTGACATCGTCTGACCAGAAAGCAGTGAAGACATAAAGCTAGGTGGACAGAAAAAGCAGCTCACAGACTAGGGGCAAGTAACATTTTCTTATCCACACAAATTAGTTAATAGGGAGGTAAAGTTACTGGGATGCTATTCTGTCAGCATGCTCCTCCAGGAAGAGCACTTTATCAGAGGGGGGAAAAAAAAGCCATGAATTAGTTTTCTTCTCAATGGTGTAGACATTTCCAAGTCTAAAAGTGCCTGGGAGCTCAGAGTTCACCCAATTTATGTGAAAGAAACTTCCACAGATGCTCCCATGAACTTCCAGGTAACACATAGGTGTGGGGGAAAGGTATAGAGTCTTAACTCTTAGTTCTTGCATGGGAAATGGTGTTTTCTTTTCCCCCTATTTCTTCCTACTTGCCTCCTGCTATGTTAAATCTTCATTAAAACTTAAAAAAAAAAATGGGACTGGGAAGTTGGCTCAGTGGTAGAGCACTTGCCTTGCAGGCATGAGGCCCTCGGTTCGATTCCTCAGCACCACATAAGCAGAAAAAAGAAAAGCCGGAAGTGGTGCTGTGGCAAGAGGTAGAGCGCTGGCCTTGAGCT